TAAAGACAAGTATTAACACAATCAAACTAATCATGAGAATACAAGCATTTCTAAAAACATGTTTAATACGACTTATCTGCACATAATCAAACTAATCAGTAGCCTATATTATTTTGCACAAGAAACAATAGTGAATATTCTATATATGATAACAGTAAAAAGAACAATAAAGCATCATAAAAGTAGACTTCACATGAGGCTTTGTGTGAGAAACAGACAAAAATTTAAGGCAATATTTACTGCCGTATTCATGAGTTTATGAGAAGCACCAATGTCTATAGATTAAAGCAACAAACTTAGATTAAATAATGACAAAAGGATAAGAAAGAAAATAATGAATATGCAATATAGTGCATATATTTATCAAAATGCTCCTCTCTCGAGTTATTTTTCTTCCTGACTATTGAGTTTATGGTCATTGAATGTCTTTCCTGAGGTAAAAAATTACAACATTATGTGACATTGTTTACAAGCTGTTTTACTGACGAAGTTCTGCAAATGAAACACTGATTAATTTTAGTAAGTTTCTTTCAAAACCTTCTGATGTTCATTCATGTTTATTTGCTGCTATAACTTGTAGTAAAGAGGAAGACATGATCGATTCACTATAGCCATCTAACACGCCACATTAAAGAGCAACAAAACAGCATTTAACTGTTTGAATTCTTCGTTACAATTGACAGAATTTGAAAGCTGAGACTTTGTTACATTTCAAAAGTAACAAAAGCATGCCACATGTCAACTGAAAACAGCAAGCATAGACTTAAAAGATCTCAGTTCATCAAAATAAAGATCGATATTGTCAACCAAGTTCTAGCACGGCATTGGAGAAGTGCTAATTAAACGTCATTGTTTTGGTCAATGATTTTGGCCTCACAAAAAAAAATCATTTCCAGCCAAATATTTTGGATTGCTGAACTCTGGTGGACCGACCTGAAATGATGAGCGTGGCCCCGGGGTCGATGATGCCACTGTTCGGCCGTACGCAGTATCTGCGCGGCGCTGTGGTCTTCACTTTAAAACATACTTTCTTATCTGATGGATTCTTTAGCTTCAGGTTCGCAGTGACGACATCTGTGAAAGGACCTGAGAAGAAAAGGAGAAGAACATCACATTTGGAGATGAACCAAGCCAAGAAAATCTTGGTCCACATTAAATATCAGATAAAACACATACTGCTCAATAAGTATCTGGTTAAGACACTGTGAGAAGATCTGATACATCACAGAAAACAGCATGAATTCATGGCCGCAGCCAGGGCTTGAAAATTAGTGAGGTCCGGGGTTGGGTTAAGAATTGTGCTATAATAACCCCTACAAATACAACTCATTATAAACACTAAACACTTTAAAAGAGACAGACATGTAGATGTTTGTGAAAGATGTTTTGGAGGGATGAACACTGTTAAATTATACCATATTTATTGCATCAAAATTTGTTAATATTTTACTATAGGAGTGGATAATTTTATCAGTTGTTTATTAATCATGCAACAATACATATCACTGTTATAGTTTTCTTTAATAATCACTGCTATATAGATGATAACTTTGTCTAGTGCTCTTATGAATGTTTTTAGCATGACTTTGTGAAAATTTACTACTACTATACTGAATGAAATAGCATAGACTTTCATGGCTAGCGTTTGCGTAGGCTATTTCATTTCATTCTGTAACCTACTTGTTCTAGATCTGTGTACTAGTGTTAAATGCTACTGTTTTTGGCTGTTGATAATGTTTCTGATGGATAATATAATGATATTTTTTGCGTTTGCCTTACCGAATGTGCTATTCTGTCAGCAATAACCTGTCAGTGAGCTTTTTTGATTACTGTCACTTTAAGTGCCGGCGATGCAGTGTTGCCAGATATTGCTATAAAAACAAGTAAAAACAAAAAATAACAAAACCAAGATAAATCGCATGCGATATTTAATGCGCATCTTGTCAGTAAAGCCGGTTCTGTAATCAGCTGTAAATCTCCATCACGTGCATGCTTTCACAACGGCTCTGTGTAGTAAATGCTGCTCCATGTGAAAGCATGCACGCTTTATGCGATTTATCGTGCAGCCCTAATTTAAAATCTTTGCAAATAAGATAAGATAAAGATATCGCTGACCCTAAACGGCAACTTCTCACTTGATTAACAAGCTGGATCTGGATTTATATATGTATATATACACTAGGGCTGTGCGATTAATCGAAATCATCATAAAATCGTGATTTGAGCGTGCGCGATTTCTAAATCGCTTTATAGCACGATTTTCCACACCCCCGACCTCCAAAGTATACTTCGGCCATCCGCGTCCGCACACCGTCCGCATTGCGTCATTTTCGTTATCAGGAGGGCCCGCGGACAGCCGCGCACCCCGTCCACGTGCAGGCAATTTTTTGAGACCGCGCGGACGGTGCGCCTACAACAGGGCATGCACATATATATATATATATATGTGTGTGTGTGTGTGTGTGTGTATATATACACACACATATAAATTATATATACACATATAAATTATATATATATATGTTACATACATACATACATGCATGCATATAGGGCTGGACGACCGTTATTGAAAAAAATTATATCGCGATACATATTGATATTGAATTATTGTCCAGCCCTACATCCAACTATATATATATATATACAGACAATCCTTCACGTTATAACTTAAGTGACACGGAAAGACAATAAGCGAGAGGAGACGAGGTGCCAACATGTCACACAAAGGCAGAGACGAACAGATTCGAACACGTTCAAAGACTCTCTGAAACAAACAAGCACAAAGACGCCACTGTATTTTAACCAGTCAGTCGGCTGCCTTTATTGAATCACATAATGGCTAAATTACCATGAAAACCACAGTTTACTGGCATTTCAAACAGCACTATTTCTGAAGGTCATATAAAGAGAGACATCAGTCAAAGACACTGACCGTCTTCTTCACGTAAACCTGCATCACACCATACACTCCCACAATCCACCGGGAAACTCAACACATGGCCTGCGCAGGCATTCTGTGGCCCAAATGAAACCTTTACACTTAGACATGCAATAATAGCAGACTGTGGCCCTTGAGCTGATCTGTGTCACTGCTTTCAGATGCCGGAGGACTTTTCTTCTGTGCAAAACATACAGTATATTAGGACATAAGGTCCATAAATGTGGCAACCATGAAGGCTCAGAAAATGATGTTAAAGTCGGCATGAGTGCATTAAAGTGCATTAAAGCACAAGGATACACAACAGAGACAGTGTCACAGCAGAATAAATGACATTAACCTGCAGTCTAATGGATGATGTGTCACAAGTAATATGTGACCCTGGAGCACAAAAGCAGTCTGAAGTCGCTGGGGTATATTTGTAGCAATAGCCAACAATACATTGTATGGGTCAAAATTATACATTTCTCTTTTATGCCAAAAATCATTAGGATATTAAGTAAAGATCATGTTCCATGAAGATATTTTGTACATTTCCTACCGTAAATATATCAAAACCTAATTTTTGATTA